GTGCTTGTGGTGTTCGGCCAATCACAATGCACTGGGTCAGCTGGCCAATCAGAGCAGACTGCGCTTGTCGGAAGGAGGGACTTTGTAGAAAACGAAGCGTTTGAGAGAGGCGGGGCATAGAGGACCTACAATAATGTACAGTATTTGAAAAATAATGTGTTTTTTGAACATTAAAGCATGTCAACATATTCTGTTACACCAAATACACAAAATAATGATCTTTAAAAAAGCATCAAATGACCCCTTTTGTTAAGTGAATCACATTTGTGAAGTTTCTCATTCATGACTAATGTCTTGTTGGTTGAACAAGCTATTAGAAGGAACCTGTCAAGACCAACTAAATGTCATATTTTAAATACATTTGCTGAGCTAATCTACTTGTATCCACTGTATGAAGCATTTCTGTGATAGAAAACACTGAAAACACATTCAGAAGAGCTTCAACCAGAAGAATTCAAAAGAAAACATCCACAAGGGTCAAGATAGACGTTGAGGATGTAGACGTGTTTGTTTCAGCTGTACTTTGGCTTTATCAAGTAAGCGAGCCCAGCAAGATAATCCTCATATCCCATTTAAGAGTATGAGAGGATGAACAGACTATGTTTTTATGACCCAGGTCTCTCTCTTTTGCCCTTTCCATGATTAGGTTAGTGTTGGCGAAACGGGATCCTCATTTGTGGAAGGGTTGAATATTTAGTCAGAAAACAGTTAGCACAGCTGTGTGTGTAGACAGTTATGGAGCACTAGACTTATCTGTTCAGTCTGAGATAATATGTTTAGTAAAGCAACAACACTCTACGTTGATTATTATAGTAAACCGAGAACAGAAGCATAAACCACATTCTTAAATAAGCAGAGGTCAGAGATCTGCGATAACTAATAATAAGTATATATAATTTAATATAACACAAATATAGTATAATATAATATAATAATAATAATAATATATTTAATATCATTCTTATATATATTATACACTTGCACCAGTGGAATAATTATAACAATATAACACTACATTTTATATTATATTATATTATACTATACTATACTATACTATACTATACTATACTATACTATACTATACTATACTATACTATACTATATTATATTATACTATACTATACTATACTATACTATACTATACTATACTATACTATACTATACTATACTATACTATACTATACTATACTATACTATACTATACTATACTATACTATACTATACTATACTATACTATACTATATTATATTATATTATAACTCTTCCACCAATGGGGAATCCTCTCCAAATACTAATATAACCATAATATGTTAAGTAACGCAAAACTGAGTAAATTGAGAACTGAAGGATAAACCACATCCTTAAATAAACTGAGGTCAGAGATCTGAGATACTTAGTAATAAAATTATATATAAAAACATAATATGATATGATTGATATGATATGATTATACAATACAATACAATACAATATGATATAACTTAAAATATAACTGGGGAATATAATTTTACCAAAACTAAAAATATAAATACTCTATAAAACTGAATTTGATTTATTATATTCATTTTAATATAATAATATAAATAATGCAACATAAAACCTTAAAGGGGTCATATGATGTTGCTAAAAAGAACATTATTTTGTGTATTTGGTGTAACGAAATCTGTTTAAGGTTCAAAAAACACATTATTTTCCACATACTGTACATTATTGTTTCTCCTCTATGCCCCGCCTTTCTGAAACGCGAGGTGTGCTGTGATTGGCCAGCTATCCAGTGCGTTGTGATTGGCCGAATACCTCAAGCGTGTGACGGAAATGTTACGCCCCTTACCATATTGTGATGCCGTGTCCCGGAGCGACAAGACAAAAATATTATATAAACTAGGCATTTGTTGCATCCAGTGGGGACATAATTACGGATTATAATGACTTATACTGTCTTTTTACGCGTTGCATTGCATCGCGCC